TGTTTGTTTTTTTGTTGTTGTTTATACATGCACTGGGTACAGTCAGAAGCGCGGGAGGGTGAGAGAATTCACCAGAGCCAGAGCGGGGAGCAGATTCTTTGGGATTTAAAACGGATTCTTTGGGGCCTCCCTGGTGGCGCAGCGGTTGAGCGCTGGGTTGCGAAGCTGCCTGCAGCCTCGCAGCGCCGGTTCGATCCCCGGCTGCTCCCCGGCCACTGGAGGGGGGCTCCCACATGGCGCGCAGACCTCTCCTGCCTCGCCCGCTGCTCCCCTCAGCAGTGTACTTCGGTCCTTCTGCCTGCTCTGCTCCCCGCTCTGGCTCTGGTGAATTCTCTCACCCTCCCGTGCTTCTGACTGTGCCTGGTGCATGTATGTATGTATGTATGTATGCATAAATAAACAAACAAACAAATAAATCTTTTTTTTAAAAAAAACGGATTCTTTTATGTCTTTAATAATGATTTTATTCTTGTTTTTCAGTTTGAGTACTTAACTATATGTTGACTTTTCATTACGATTTTCATTATGATTTTTAAAAATCACTGTTGAGGGCCTGCCTGGTGGCGCAGGGGTTAAGTCTCAACACTATTCAGCTATCCGCAGCTCGAGTTTGATCCCTGGCCAGGGAGCTACCCACATGGCGCAGCAGACCTCTCCTGACTCGCCCATTGCTCCCCTCAGCAATGGATTTCAGTAGATCCGCCTGTTCTGCTCCCAGCTCTGTCTCTGGTGAATCGTCTCCCACACGCACACACACACACACACACACACACACACACACACACACACACACACACCTCTGGCCTGTAGCCCAGTTCTTGTATGCATAAATAAGTAAATCTTTTAAAAAAAATCACTATTGACTTTAAAAATTAGACTTCTTATTGAAACATAACACACAGAAAAAGTGTCCAAACTGTAAGTGTTTATACAGCTCGATGAATCAAGACACAGTATACGGGGCCTCCCCTGTGGCGCAGCAGTTCAGCGCTGGGCTGTGAAGCTGCCCGCAGCCTCTGCAGCGCCGGTTCAATCCCCGGCCACCAGGGAGGGTCCCACATGGCGCCCAGACCTCTCCTGCCGTGCCCGCTGCTCCCCTCAGCAGTGTACTTCATCAGTCTGCCTGTTCTGTTCCCTGCTCTGGCTCTGGTGAATCCTCTCACCCTCCCGCTCTTCTGACTGTACCCAGTGCTTGTATAAATAAATTAAAAAAAAAAAAAAGAATCTGAAGAAACGAGCAACCAAGAGTTGAGTCCAGAGAACGGAAAGCAGGTCTCAGAAATCAGAGGGAAGAGGGACTGGAAAGGCAGCATATTTGATGGGTTGGCTGTGAGCAGGGGCACGGCAACAGGACAGTGGCCAGAACACAGTGGTGTACCTCAGGGTTCTGTGCACATTGGGAAGTCCGAGGACACCCCCTGAGGGTGCTTACCAGTGGGCAGATGGAAGGAAATCAGTTCATTCAGCCTGGAGATAATGCGGTTGAAGCACACACTGCTTTCTGGAGCAGAACGCACCTCGCCTGGCTGTGGTAGCGCTCAGGCCATCCGGGCAGCGTGTAGTGGACGCTTCCATGCCCCACGGCCTGTGTGCCCACGCCAGCTGTCCACACTTCCTCTTGCTGTATTTACTGTCGTTTCCATCAAGACTTAGGATTTCCGAAAGAGGAGTTGAAATTCTGACCTTGCTTCCTTTAAGCACATACACCCGTTAACTGCGTGCTCCTGACTCTGGGTCTTTCCTCCCGCCGGCCAGAGGGGTGCGGTGGGTGCTGCCATCCAGGTCAGTCCAGGGCCGCCTTGGCTGCAGCGGTTCCCTTTCTGTGCGTGCTCTGGAGGCCAGCAGGTTCATGGGAAGTTACTAAGGCACTTGGTGGGTAAAGGCTTTAGATCGTGTTTAGCTGGTATTTTGTTGCTTTGGGTTTAATGTGAGTAGTACAGCAGTTCTCAGAATAGGCCTAGGGACCTTGGGAGGTTTTCTGAGACCATTTTAGGGGGTCTGTAGTCAAAACTATTTTTGTAATACTATTTTAAGACATTCTTGGCTTTTTCCATTTTCTCTCGGAATGTAAGCAGAACTTTCCAGAGGCTACGTGACGTGCGATATCACTGCAGGTTGAATACAGAAGGATGTAGGAGAATTTGATTCAGATGTTATTTATATTATCATGTAATGGACTTACAGATATTTCCGTTTTTTAATTGTGATAAAAATACTGTTGACCCTTGGACAACTTGGGGGTTGGGAGTACAGCCTCCCTGCTTTTTGACTTTCCAGACACCTAACACTGCTAATGGCTGCTTTCCACCGGGAGCCTTACTGCTAATGTCTGAACAGCAGCGAACAAGTGTTTCATATGTTTTATGGATCACACACTGTTCTTACAGTGCAGTAAGCTAGAGCCGAGAAAGGCAGGAAGACGCTTCTAAGGAGGAGAAGACTCTTTCGTGGCACGGCTACATTGCTCAGGCTGTCATCTGTGTGTCTTCTGTGGAGACGGGTCTAGCCCAGGCCTTGCCTGTTTTTCAATTGGGTTGTTATTTCGTTGAATTTTAGGAGTTCTCTCCCTCTCTCTCCTGCATATTAATCCCTTATCAGATAAATGATTCGCAAATATTTTCTCCCATTCTGCGGATTGCCGCTATAGTCTGTTGATACTGTCTCTCTCTTTTTTTTTTTAAGATTTAATTATTTTTGTACAAGACCTGGGGTACAGGCCAGATGCGCGGGAGAATGAGAGGATTCACCAGAGACAGAGCGGGGAGCAGAACGGGCAGGCTGATGAAATACACTGCTGAGGGGAGCAGCGGGTGAGATAAGGGAGGTCTGCTGCGCCATATGGGTTTCTTCCTGGCTGGGCCGGGAATCAAACCCTCACTGCAGAGGCTGCGGACAGCTTCACAATGCTGCGCTCAACCGTTATGCCACCGGGGAAGCCTGATATTGACTTTTTTTTTTTTTAAAGATTTATTTATTTATTTATTTACACAAGCACTGGGTACAGTCAGAAGCACAGGGGCGTGAGAGAATTCACCAGAGCCAGAGGGGAGAGCAGAGCAGGCAGACTGACGAAGTACACTGCTGAGGGGAGCAGCGGGCGGCAGGAGAGATCTGCATATCATGTGGGACCCTCGCCCGGTGGCCGGGGATCGAACCGGCGCTGCAGAGGCTGCGGGCAGCTTCGCAACTCAGTGTTCAACTGCTGCACCACTGGGGAGGCCCCCTGATATTGACTCTTGATGCACAAAATGTTAAACATTTTTGTGAGGTGTACTTTGTTTTTTTCTTCTGTTGTGTGTGCCTTTAGTCATATGCTAGAAATCACTATCAAGTCCAGTGGGGCTTTTGCCCTATGTTTTCTCTTAGAAGTTTGATAGCTTTAGCTCTTAAATTTGATCTTTGGTACTTTGAGCTGATTTTTGTACAGGATGTTAAATAGTAGTCCAGGGGCCTCCCCGGTGGCGCAGCAGTTGAGCACTGGGCTGTGAAGCTGCCCACAACCTCTGCAGCACCGGTTTGATCCCTGGCCACCGGGAGGGTCCCACATGGCACACAGACCTCTCCTGCTGCCCACTGCTCCCCTCAGCAGTGTATTACGTCCGTCCACCTGTTCTGTTCTCCGCTCTGGCTCTGATGAATTCTCTTACCTTCCCGTGCTTCTGACTGTACCCAGTGCTTGTGTAAATAAATAAATAACTCTTTAAATAAATAAATAAATGGTAGTCCAATTTCTTTTTTTCTTTTCTTTCTTTTTTTTTTTTTGTGGGACCCTCGCCGGCGGCCGGGGAACGAACCGGCGCTGCAGAGGCTGCGGGCAGCCTTGCAGCCCAGCGCTCAACTGCTGCGCCACCAGGGGAGGCCCAATAGTAGTCCAATTTCATCCTTTTATATGTGGCTGTCCATTTTTCCCAGCACCATTTGAAGTGAATTGTTCAGTTCTTATTTTTGTAATTTTTCAGTTTCATTCAAAATGTAACTGTTGAGAGCTAAAACCAACACTTGGAATCACCGATAATCCTTACACGTTATAAAGGGGCCATGGAGCTGGAGAACCGTAGACGTGGCTGTGGGCCCTTGCAGATCTGCGTGCACAGAGGACACAGCCTCACCTTCAGGGGCAAGGCCAGTGGTTGTTCGAGAAGTCAGTGCAAAGCTGAGCCAGTTTATGCCCCCAGCCGAGGGACAGCCTCTCTGCACTTCTCTTCCTTTCCACACCTGTCCCCCTGCCCCCCCCCCCCACCAGGGATAGCCTTTGTTCTAGAAATCACTTCCATTTGCGAAATGAGGAACTAACCAGGAGATGATGCCTGTATCTTAGTAAAAATGATTTTTATTGTTATTTTTTTTTAAGATAAGAACTGGATTTAACTAGCAGCTCTCAAGTTTCTCACTTCCTGTATCTTTGTGGCTTGTTCTTACAAGCACCCCTCTTTTGAAGAAAGGCCACTAGGTGACCATCTGTCGCTTCTGCATATTTCGTGTGGTTTGCCTACATACTGGTCTAAAACCAGTTCCTTTTCCTCCTTTAGCCACCTAAAGGCCTTTTCTGTTTCTTTCAATAAAATGTTTTTAGTATTTTAAGATTCAAAACCAGCCTGTTTATGTATTTACTCAGTTGTTAAGCTCCCACTGTGTGCAAGCTGCTTGGGAGGCATTCTGAGCCAGTACACCCGTCAGACTGGAACATCGTTCCTGCCTTGGGACCCCAGAGTCAGTCGAGTCAGATTACTGGCGGTGGAGGGGTGCAGACTGGAGACCCCACTCTACCACGAGGGGTCAGGAGCAGCTCCAGTGTGGCTTGCCCCGGCCCCTCCGGTGCTTGTCCACAGGCAGCTTAAACATACCATGTTACATGTTCATAGAATATTGTAACTGGAAAACTTAGTTTTTGAGGTTTGTTTACTTTGTTTTTAGCAATGCCACCTGACTGGGCATTTACAAAACTATTGCCAGTTCATCTGTAATTACCAGATTCTTAATACCTGTAATCTTTTTCCTAGGTCGCAATAAAAATAATTGACAAAACTCAGTTGAATCCAACAAGTCTACAAAAGGTAAGCTTGGTTTCAGTATCCAGTGTTATAATACCTCAGCTGTTAATCTTTTTAAAATTATATTTTATACAGTAACGCATCCTAGCCCCCAAATGAATGCAACTTAAATGTAGTATTGTACAAAAAGTAGTTGGATTTTTCCCCTTTGTTTGAAGAGAGTGATTTTTAAGTGCTCTTAATAGCATAGACTGAAGGCTGTACTTCTTGGATGGAGCATGTTAGAATCACCTGGGCCTCTTGACAGTCCTGATGACGGACCGCGGGAGAGACTGAGTGTTTGGTGGGGCCTGGGCACAGGTATTCCACTGGCACATGAGTGAGTCATTTGTGATCTTTATACGAAGGGCCTTCTAGTTCTTTTTAGTTTTGCAAAGCCTTTTAGCAGACTTCATTTGATTTCTGTAATTGGCCTGTAGTCATTGAGGGCATACTGAAACATTGAACTTAGAATAGGAAATCGTGACTGTAAGTCCTGGCTTTGCCGTTTAGCTTGACCTTGAGCAACTCACTTAGCTTTCTGGACCTCAGAAAAATCTTTAAAATGGAGATGATTTTAATCTTCTCAGGATAGATATGCATATTAATGAAATAATGCAAGTAAAAGAGCTTTGTAACCTGCAAAGCACTACATGCGTAGAATAACTAGTGTCCTCTGTGCATTCCTAATGCTTGTTTTCTATTTGCATCATCATCATTTTGGAGCTCTGTGTGTGTGCATGCATGCACTAGTGTATGGTAGGAGAGAGACTTTATCTTGCACTAAAACTGGCATTTGAACAAGTGGTTCTGTAGGCCAAGGGGGGCTGAAGATACCCAAGAGTTCTAGTCGCCTGTGAAGATGAAAACTATCTGCTTTATTGAACTCATCTTCATGTATCTCTAAGGACTTGGTGCTAGTAAGTTAGGGGTTACTGAGATTTGGTATTCAAAACTGAAACTCGTGTAAAGGTTTCCACTGAGGATTCAGTGTAGATTGTAATGATATCGCAGCTCTTCCACTTTTTAAGTGTCCTTGCATATAACTTTTTAAGTGTCCTGGCAGTTTCTAGGAAGAATTTTATCATGGTACTGTCTTGTGTTGGTTCTGATTTTTTCTTCTTTCTTACTTTCATTATTTTTGGTCATATCCTTTAATTGCTGCTATTTTTCTTTTAGTATATGTGCTGACGAAGCCAGCACTGATTGCTATTATTGTTTACTCTGATTTTGATCACTATTTACTGTTTGTCACAGTTCTCAGTTTAATGAAGTGACTTCCCAGGGTCCACTGTTGTGCTGTTACATGGGAAGTCGCTGTGTGTATGTGCCCCTTGTGTTCTCCCTCTCTCCACCCCCCCCCACCCCCCCGCTGGTCAGACAGGTGTCTTTTCATCTTCGTTGTGTTAGGTGAGTCTTGTTTCCGTCCTGACTCGCTGTGAGGCGGACTCTGGGAAGTCCGTCCAGCCACACTTTCCAGCCTATGAGCGATAGAGCAAAGACAGAAATCTTGGCCTGACCCCAGATGTGGACTCCACCCATGAGGCCCTCTTTTTTTTTTTTTTTTTTTTTTAATAGAGGCATGCTTTATTTATTTGTTTGCTGGTTTGTTTGTTTGTTTTGTTTATACATGCACTGGGTACAGTCAGAAGCGCGGGAGGGTGAGAGAATTCACCAGAGCCAGAGCGGGGAGCAGAGCAGGCAGAAGGACCGAAGTACACTGCTGAGGGGAGCAGCGGGCGGCAGGAGAGGTCTGCGCGCCATGTGGGACCCTCCTCCGGTGGCCGGGGAGCAGCCAGGGATCGAACCGGCGCCACAGAGGCCGCGGGCAGCTTCGCAACCCAGCGCTCAACCGCTGCGCCACCGGGGAGGCCCCCATGAGGCCCTCTTACTGTCATTAGTTAAGTTTCCTTAATCCAGGACTTAGGAAATCTGGGTAGAAACTAATCTGAGGCTTTGCTTTTTAGTAACCATAAAGAAGTTTCAAGCTTGGGGGAATATTTCAAGTTCCTAAGGAAGGTGATAGACCTTGTATCCCACCTCCCCATCTACCACATGTTTATGCAGGTTTGTTTGTTTTTTTTCACTCTTTAAACACTTACTAAACAAATGCCTGCTGATGCCAGGGATAGTCTAACCACTGAGGCCAGAGGCTAAGCCTTGAGCCAAGTGAAGTTACTGCCTTCACAGAATTGGCATCCTGGTGGGGAGCAGCAGTAAATAAATGTATGTCAGGGCTGTGGAGAAAACAAAACCAGATGTCTTAACTGCCCTTTCTTATTTTGTGTATTTTTGAGGTGCTGGCCTCTTAGGCCTGGGTGTGTTTTTAAAAATTTACCAAAGTTACTAAAGGAAAAAAAAGAATGAACATTAATTTCAAGTTTATGCAAGACAGAATGGGTTGCTGGATGTTTGTTGAGGCACTACTGACGGTGTCCTTGGTCAGTCCATGCGAGATGCGTTTTCTTTGACTTGGTGTTTGTTTTGGAGCCACTTTTATTGCTTAGAGCTCTGAACAGTAGTGCCCTTTTTTGGCATCCCAGGGAATCTTAGTTGGGGTGCAAGTCGGGCAACTGGATAATTTAAAGGCAGAGACTACCAGCCTTGCTTTTCATGTGTTCTGCATTTTGGGGGGTACTTGAACTTCAGCCTCCTCAAACCAGTCATTTTCAACCTTTTGCTGTGCCTTAGAAGCATCTGTGGAATTAAAACAAACATGTCTCCTTCAAAGTGCTCCCCCCAGGGGCTCTGGTTTGATGATCCAGGTGAGGAGAAGGGGCCAGGGCAGCTGAGAATGCTCCCTAGACTTCCTGGGGTTTTCCGCAGAGCTCTGCACTTCCCTTCTAAAGGTGGCCTGGGTGGAGGCCCCGTCTCCAGTGTCTGGCTTGTAGCCGTGGCCCTGTGGTGAACCCCTCTCCCCCTCCGCCGCTCTCCCTGGGGACCCTCCACGCCCTGCTTCAAGACTTCACTTTCCTCTTCCCTGTCAGCTCAAGCACATTTTTCACTGAACAATTCTGTTTATCTTTTCCTGTCTCACTGCCTTCCACTTTTTTTATATTTACAAGCGGCAAACAGTTCAGGCCATTGACAATAGTAGTTCTCATTATTATCTACTATTAGGTTTTTGTGTTCAGATTGGCGTGATGCATCTGGGAGACTAATACAGGGCATGGTAACCGACTCTAAGGCAAACCCTTCTTGATTGCATGTATTTAAAATATTGGGAATAGGGCCTCCCCTGGTGGTGCAGCGGTTGAGCGCTGGGCTGCGAAGCTGCGCAAAGCCTTAGCAGCGCCGGTTCTATCCCCGGCTGCTCCCCAGCCACCGGAGGAGGGTCCCACATGGCGCGCAGACCTCTCCTGCCGCTCGCTGCTCCCCTCAGCAGTGTACTTCGGTCCTTCTGCCTGCTCTGCTCCCCGCTCTGGCTCTGGTGAATTCTCTCACCCTCCCGCGCTTCTGACTGTCCAGTGCTTGTATGAATAAATAAATAAATCTTAAAAAAAAAAAAAAAAGAAAAGAAAAGATTAACATGTAAGAAAATAAAAGTTCTTTAAAAAAAAAATATTGGGAATAAAGATAGTGCGTTTCTTCATTGGTAGATTTCAAGAGAGGTAATAGATATGGAAGAAAATAGATTCAGTGTTGCTACTGCTTTATGTGGAACTTTCCTTATTGCCAGACTTACTTTGCTTTGGCAGGAATAATACAGATAGCTATTTAGAGTAGATTGTGAATTAAGGATATTGGAATTTAACTGTACCAGTGATTCATTATCTAGAGAAAAGTCACTAAAGAACCAAAAATTTTAACTGGATTAAATGTAGAGGTTAGTATGAACCCATTTGCTCAAAGTGAAGTACCAGGCATACATTGGACCTTGGGGAGCGACCCCTGACAACGGTCACCAAGACAGAATGGGTTGCAAGCGCCCGTAGTGTGCCAGCTGGTGTCTCAGGCTCCCTGCACATCACGTCCCTTAAACTGTGGGGCACCAGAGGCCCAGCCGGGTCAGGCCGCTGGACCGAGTCCGTCAGCGTGTCCTCCGCCAGTGATCCTTGATGACCGTGCATGGTGCAGTCATTGCTCCTCACAACAGTCCTGCCCCGCGGCTCTGTGCGCCTGTGCCTGATGTGAGCACCATTGACACTGATGACGACTTTGTAGCTGTTCAGTCCAGAGAGAAAGGGACTGCATAGGCATTAGGTCCCAAGGCTCCAGTGCTCCAGGGAGCCTTTTCCATCCTGTCCCCTTGGAGGATGGCAGACCTAGCACCTTCCGCACGGGAAGGGTAGCGAGGGATACACTGGCATTCACTTCCATGGGCAAACGCCCAGTAGTGAACCCTGAATTCACATTTTCTTTCACCACCCTCGTTCACTTTGGAGGTGGGGAAGAATTTGTCTTAGAAATAGTTGCTCATAAGGATCCATATTACTGCTACTCTTGTTTTAAATTTTAAAAATGGTTTAATTTTACTAACCAGCTAAATCTAATTATTTAAAATTCAGTTTTAATTTTGACCAAATACTCTACAAGTAAAAGAATGTGACATGCTCATTGATACATATATATAGGAAATGAGCACCCATTTGGTTCTAGAAATGTGTTATTAACAGTAGCTTTAAATTAGTCACACTTCGGCCCTCCCAGCATGCTCTCTCCCTTGTTTCCCAACTACTGTGTGACCAGTGACAAGAATTTTGTTATTGTCTTCTTAGTTTTATCATTTTAACCTCATATGGGCTCCTGACATCCATACGGTGTAAAGGTCTTAAATATTATATAAATGGAGCCATGTGTATCCTCCTCTTTGCTTCTTTTGCCCCAAACGTGTTCCATTTTGGTGCATTTATTCACTTTCACAACATGCTCGTTTTCATGATTATACAGAACATCCCGTAATAAGAATCTGCCATGAGCTGTTTCTTTACTGGCGCATACTCTTAGCGCCTTTACTAATAAAAATGTTTTAAAAGTCAGTTGATAATAATAGGGGTGGGGTGGGGATGGGGCTTGAAAACATC